TTGTTTGTACAAGCACATGTTACCACCAAGTCATTTTGTATCTGAGAAGATTTACCTAAGAGCTCAAGAAACTAGCAAAAAGAAAAATGACAGAGAAAAACAGGATAAACTAGGTCGTTATATTCTTCTAGCCCAAAGTTTCTGTGCCAGGAGAACTGCTTCCTTTGCTCTCCAGATCCAAGTCTGGATATCAGAATCATACTGAAGATAAAGGCAGACTGAACGCTATTGGGTAAAACAATTCATTTAGAGACAGCATTATTGTCAAGCAGAGCTGTACCTGACTCCAGCAGCAGGGATTTAAATGGGATGAATACCCACATGTAATTTCAGAAAAACTATTTAGGTTTAAGTTGCTATTGAGCATGGAATGGGTTATCAAAATCTGGCCAAGGCTGTAAGAGGAACAACAAATTGCTAACAAAAATAATCTCTTATTCAAAATAATTTCTGCCACCGTTCCCAGATACCCATAATGGCAATTCAAGACAACTGCAATCAAAATAAGGGAGGTGGTGAAATTTGCCTCTGATGTTTCATGCAGTAATTAAGTCTTCCCTATTTGTATGATGTCTGAATAACAAAGAAACAAAAGGACGTGGTAAACTGTTGAATTTAACAATTTAGATAAGGATGAATTATTATAATCAAGTTGTACTGTCAAAGAGATTAATTTGCTATACACATTTGATGCAGCATAGACAGCGTGTACCATCCAAAATTAGCCTGGCTCTGAAAAAAAAACAAATTCGGTGCGTCTCCACAAGCGCACACACGCAGGGGTGTGCATTCCCCATGGAACAAATAACAGTGGCACATATTTGTACCACTGCTATTTGTCTCTGGTCAGCCAGGCTCCCTTTCTGGTGGTGCATACTGCTGCCATGTGTGCCACACCACTTTTTTTTAGTGACAGTTGGGGGGGGGGGGTTGACACCAGGATCCCCAGTGCCAAAACCCCCATCGTGCTGCAAATCAGCAGCGCAGCAAACATGGGAACATGCCCATTCTGTCCTTTCATGGAAAGCTTACCAAACATGCAGTTTAACAATAGCGGTTGTTCTCTGTGGCTAGATGCAGATTTCAAAAAGCCCAAGGCAGAACTGATCTAAATTACACAGTTTTCTATAAATGGTGTAGTCTAGATCAGTAGTGAACAGAACACACATTCACCCTTTTGGGGGGCGGGGGGGGGGGAATCTTAGCCCA